GCTGATGCGCCTGTTCTGTAATACGATATGGGCCGGACCGACGATGTCCGTCCCAAGATCGCTGGTGTGGATAGAGGATTCAGACGGGGCAGGGTTTTGGTGGCGCAACTTAGACATTTTCCTGGCAGGGTACGCTTCCTGGGGTACGCGAGGGGCCTTATCCATCTAGTAGTCACTGGACCATAGGAGAGATAGTTTGATGCTGAAAACATAAAGGCTATGTTTGGAACTTACAATGTTAATGAAGGGTGAAGGTAGGACAGTAAAAGTCGGTGATGAATTAAGGGCCTGATTCTCATGTTAGTTATATTCCAAGAAATATTGATAGTAGAAAGCCTGCGAACAAATGAATTACATGCATACAACACAATACTAAAGTACGGATGAACCAGAAATCTGATAATGACGCAACGATATGAGTGAGGCTGATAGCGGAAGGACAAGGCACAGCGATAACCGTAGTAAAATGCCAGGTCTTCTAAGAGCGAGCGGATGGACAGATATATTATAGAAACATGGGTAGATCGATTGGTAAACAAAAGACGACCAAATTCAACATCGTGATTAGAAATATGGAAAAGGTTGCAACCCATACAAGGGCCATAAAGCTGGTCATCTGCAACAAGCCTTGCAAGCGGATGACACTTCGCCTAAATATGTGGTGGTGGTGGATAGAGAGGCAAGGATGAGAAGCACCTCGCAGTAATGGTTCAATAACAGTACATCGTGGGGTGGAGAAAATGAAAAGAGTTCAATCTAGAACACTTACTTGTAGGATGTCCTATCGAAAGAATTCTGGTGACTATGAAGGTCCGCCAATGTGCACCGCTGGGGTGTAGAGCTGTAGATGGTGGATGGTTGGTTTCCTTTTTACTGTAGGATTTTAGTTAGAAAGCTATCCCATGTAAAATAATACCCTTGAAAGAGGGAAGCCCTGCTCATTCACCGATAAGAATTCGATGGATTTTCTTATCGCAAAACAGTCCTCGAAATAGCTATGAAATATTGAATATTGATTTGTGGCGGTAAGAGATCTTCGAAATAATTGAAGACTTCCCGACGGCAATTCAATGATGACTTGTACTTGAAATGGATGCCTTGATGGAAGATAAATTGAAATCGACTTACGGGATTTAATTGCGGATATAGGTAGATGTGTGTGTGCAATGCGCCGTGCAATGATTCCCACGTTTAGCTCTTCCCAATGATTGTTTTTATATTCTCGATCTTCCGATTTCCGATTTCCTACTCTCGATGGTTTCGATTTATGTTGGAAAAAGTCCCAATAAAATCAAAGGTCTAGCCGAACTTGCAGACGCAGACCGAAGTTCCAGGTGAATGGTTACAGTTTATGCTCGTCGAGTATCTCGGGGGTGGATGGCTGCCGCTGAAGATCGTGGGCGGGTATGTAGTAGTCGACTGGGGTATCTTAATCTTTGGGAATGTTTGGTAGATCGAGTCTGGGTAACACGAAAGGTTAGCATTTGTGCGAAGTTCGCATGCAGCTAGCTAGCTGAAAGAATTGGTACCAACGATCGCAAAAGTCTAGCTGGAAAGGTGTTTTGTTGAAGAGTTTGTTTTTGTTGAAGTCAAATCTTGCTTGATAAATTGCGGTCAAGAAAAGTCACCTCTGCGCTATGGTTCGAAACGGCGCGTCTTCTCTTTTGTACGAGATACCACGTTGATGAGTTGTACAGTTGACGACTCTATTGTAACCTGAGCACATTGCACAAGGATGAAAATATCGCGAGGTCGAGGTGATGGTATACAAGAAGTTTACCGGTAAGAATCGCTAGATAAGACAAAGCTGTGGGTGCCCGCGACGCGCTTCTTACCAAATGTGGAGGTGGTCGACAAATTCACTTCACTTAAAGAATTCCAGAGATTCGGTAGGAGAATAGGAATAATGAATTGCATCTCACCTTTCGATATAATTAATAAAACTGTTGTACGGTGAAATTTGGAGATCGAGACCGTGTGTGAATAAAACTATTGATATCGGTGTCAAAGTACAGAGTGCAATGACCTCACTCTTTGTGACCTAATAGTAAGTTAGAATATTGTTAGTTGTTGAAGTGATTGCCATTGTCATGAGAAAATCTTGTTTCAGCAGCTTTGTAGCCTTTCATCAGTCTGGAGAACTTACATCAAGAATACAGGAGAGAAGGTACGAGTTCGATTGAGGAGGTAGGTACTTAATGCCCTTATGATTTATTCCCTATGTTGGTATTTGGTATTTCTCCCAGTACTGAATCACCATCAGTCAAAACTATAAAGCTAACATGTTCGTATTCAAAAGCGAATGAATGATTGAAGTTACTCACAATTCAAACTTCTCTCGAATACATCAAATTCCACAACTTCTAACAATCGCAACGAAGCAAATTCTCAATATCAATTCGTTCCGAATAGCTTCAATTTTGCTGTTCCAAAAAGGCGGTGATCAGTAATTTATTTTTCTGCCAAATGGTTCTCTGCGGAAGCAAGGATTGCAATTACACCCGTTTGTGATGGAGATCCTTGTCGTCGATTGCAGAAAAAAGCTTGACTTACACGGCTGGGTTGTTGTAGCTGTCAACAAATGACAAGTGCAGTGCAGGGCTTTTGCTTAGAAACTGGGATGATGGATAGTTGTCCAGATATTTGGGTTTAAAGTTATAAGGCCAGCAAGGTCAAGGGCTCAAAGCAAAGAGGGCTGAAATTTGAGGGGAAGACGTAGGGATGGATAGAGACGATGAAGAAGTGCTCGCTTCACTAGAGGTAATAGTGTAAAACTGTGGAGTGTTTGCAGCTTCAACCTTGAATGAAAATGGAGATGAACGGTGTCAGGATCATGGGTTGTGATAAACTTTGGAGGAAATTGGTCGACAAGGGGAGTGGAATCAAGAAGGAAGTGAGTGAGTGAGTGAGTGCGAGAGTGCGTGAGTGCGAAAGGACGAAGAGTCACATCCAGCACATTGCAAGGAAATCGTATTAGGGGCAATTCGCTATCAACACGCTCACAAACTGTTACAATATAAACTTTCGCCGAAAGTTTTTACTCTTTCCAATTAGCGTTACAACTTACTCCTACCATCTACGGTACATCAAGTAAACTTGTCCGGTCCTGTCGAGCGAGACTCGAGAGACAAAAGACGGTCAGAATCTGTGAAATCAAAGTATGCCGACACAATCGATCAATCTGAAATCGAGTCCTGTTACTCTTGAAAAGTTGAGAGGCGTCATCCAATCAATGGTTGTCATCGATGACAATCTATTACCATGGCAATCTATTAACCCGTGAGAAAGGAAAGGCTTTTCGATAAAGTTTCTACCGAGTACATATTAGTATGAGTGCATGACACCAACATCCAAAGCTAAACCTCTTATAGTATCAAAGCAAACATTTCGATCACTCGACCATCAGAAGTGCAAAAGCTCCTCGAAATAAAACCGGTGATAAGCACGAACGATTGCAGTGTGAACTGCAGACTCCAATTACAAAAAAGCCACAATATCACTATCCGAAACAATCATGTTGATTGTCCAGCGGCTCGATTCTTCCACCAAAAGGCCGCGCAACTTTGCATCGGAGATATTCCCTATTCGGTCATTCGAGAGACGTGATCAACACCGGTAGGATTTGAAAGGCTAATCGTTGTGGATAGAGTGGTACGAGATGGCATGAAAATGTTGGAATTGCTTCCTTGGCATACCGTGGTGACATTTGGTCTGTTTCGGTTCGTGAGGAGGAGCCTTTGGCAATAAGTTTCATGATGATATTCGTCCGTATGAATCACGTATAATCGCTTCAGAGCATGTGATGATTCGTTGTGCCGATGGTTTACTCTTTTCAGGTGTGATTGTATAAAGTCACAATGAAAAGGAAGGAATTCTAGCAGTGAGAAATTTTCAATTTCCATCTTTCATAAGTCTCCATATGGCCCGCCTACTTTACACGGCACTAAAGCCTTAGTTCTGATTAGGAATCTACTCAAACATCACGTAGACTGGAAAGGGTTTAATCTAATGTTGGTCGGAGAAGTTAGTGTTCGACCGTTGGTTTCTAATACCTAAAAAGTCCGGAGACCGATATCTGTCTTCAATTCATCATCAAATTCCGTCATTATGCAAATGGAAAAGAAATGAGCAAAGGAAAATTCCGTATGTACAAAATGACGGTGAGCTGGTACAGTAATCATGCAACGTCTGATTCTCACCCGCTCACTGAAATGCCGAAAGTTTAGATATGATGAAGGGGGAGTGCAATTTTATCACAAAATTCGGTCTCGCCGTCTACCAATAAGACTGGCTATTCAATTCGCTTGCTATCTTCTCGCATTTGCACCCACTCCAATATCTCCTTTTCTTTCCTTCTTGGAATCTCTTTTTCAACTTCGTGTGGAGATGCCTTCCAGCTTCCGGACCAGACCACCTTCATGACCAATCAATATCCTAGTCATAACCGTTTTACCCGGGCAGCGCAAAATAATCTCCTCTGCCTCCTTCACTTGATTCTGAAAGTCTGTCTGTACGCGGAGTCATGATAGAATCTGAGTTCACGACATAAGTGATAGATGTTGAGGCTCGCACCAAGTGACGTTGGAAAGATGGATCTTGAGAGCTATTAAGTTTATTCTAATCCATGGTAGATTCCCAGGCTGAAAGAGCCCAGTACCGGCATCGTGAACCATTCGTGGGGTGCTTGCGTTGGGGTTGTAGACCCTCAAGGTCCTTCAAAAGCCTTGCACGCTGTCCTTTTGCCCTGCTGCCTCGGAGAATTAGACCGTGGTAAAAATGAGCTCCCCTCGAGGATTGTCATCTCACACCAACATGACATGTCAGAGCGGGAGGGAAGGGGGGCCACGGTACACTTCTTTTGGGGAATGACGATCTTGAATCTTGATTTTCAAGCATCCTCTACACAATCACCATTATAGCTTACATTTTTTCTGTCGGATATGGACTAAACATTATCGCCGCAACTACGCTGATAGCCTCTTCATGATCAACCATTCATAATGAGCTTTTGGGACTCAGGTCCGATGCCATCATGCCACCGAGGTAAATTTCATATGCACCCTGGTGGCACACACGAAGTAACGTTTTGACTCAGTTAACAATAGAGCCAATAGCAATAAAGAAAGCAGGCAAAGAAGTCGCGCATTCCCCGAAACTCAACGGCAAAAGTTCCTACTAAGAAGGAAAACATCCCGTCATTTCTTCAACGCCTATTCTGATTGCATATCCCTACTCCATTGTACGATTAAACGACGATTTGGTTTGTGCGCTTGCATGGAAATTTATCACAAGGATTGAGGAAGCTGCTGGGCTTGTCGGTGGAAGACGCCACAACACCCTGAAAAGTTTCCTTGAATCCATCCCCTGTTATGCGTGTTAAGACACCTAAAAACAAACCGTTGCACACTTTCATTTTTTGCCTACCAGCCCCTGTTTGACAGCTTGTAATTCCTTGTCGACATTAATGCTTGCTTGCACTTAGATTAGTTCCCACATGGGAGAATGTCAATATCAACCTCATGGCAAATGTGCATGGGATGATGGGACACACTTGTACCTTACAGCGAACAAAAATCATGTGAATTTTCCATCATATTTTGAGTTACGATAATGATTAATAGAATTTTCCCCAAGTACAAGTAACCTGCTACCTGGGCCACGGGAAACGCATTCTGTATCTAGCCGTTCAAACGAAAAGTCGGGTCGCCACGAGACCCGAGTAACTAGATAGGAATTATGAATTTATGGCAAGTCCCGTGGCGAATAGACTCTTGGTTACCTCAATGCATTACTCGACATATTATTTGCAACATATCTCTTCTCTAATTCCCTTATTTTTAGTGCTTCCGAAGTCCTTCAATCTCTGATAAAGAGAGACCGAGATGAGCAACACGATGACTTATCTAACGGAATATACCTCGATAGAGTATGGCCATTTGAGAAACATCGTATCATACTGCATTAGTACTTTAGCCGTAGAACATAAGTTGGAACACGTCTAAACACGAAGCTATTTTTGGTGTTTTGGAAATGGCTAATAGATTGATTGAAGATCAAACAGCTCCATTCCAAGTTGCGGGATAATCGTTTTGAGTCTTTCGACCCAAAACTCCACAAGAGCACAAGAGCAAATAGATTGTGATCAGCGCCAGATCGGAATATGTCGCGAAACCAAAAAGAAGACTCTGACGACGTTTGAAAGAGCCTAAAGTAAAGCGCCCTCGAGACCGCCCAAACTAACTCTCAACGTCCGCATGATTCGCGGCATAAATTCTCACTTACGGACATGTAGCTTATCCAAGATTGAAGACATCGTCAATAGCTTTTCCTCAATCCTACTCTACCATATCTTACGTAGGGCACTTGAGATATTTCCGATACTGAATCCTAGACACTCGCTTGAGGAGGAAGCTGATCCGAATGTAACTCTCAGGCTTTACGGAAGAACTTACGAGAGCCCTTGATGCATACCTTATTATCTTACCCGCTTCATCTGAATCAAGATACCAATCTTCACCTCTCATCAAAGCACCAATGAACTGGCACGGTCTGAGGATTAAGACTCCACCACTTCCCTATCTACAGTGATAATCAAATCTACTTACAGAGCAACAAACGGGGCTCAATTTTGAGTGCTCCCTGAATTTCCACCCCCACACATACATTCCCACATACAATAGTTCTAGACCTATCTTTTTACGATATATTTTGTCTGCAACAGCTCCCTAAGGAGTCACAAGGCGGCAGTTACGCTTGATTCGGTAAACAAAATTATTTATTAATCTAATTCCAATGCTTCATGCATAAGAAAGTCCACACGGGACAATATCAAAAAAACGATTAGAACGATGAAATGAATTGTTACCATTCTGGTGATAGCTTTCACGACGATTTCAAAGATACATTTCCTTTGAATGAGGGAAAAAAGGAAAAAACACTGCCACGTCGAGAGTTGCTCCGAGACATCCGGGTAATAGATCCTACTGGTTCAAATTGAATAGAAAACTCAAAAAGCAGCAATGTAAACTCACATGATCTGACACTCCAATATGGCAACGGCCAACTTCCGCGCACCAATGAAACACAAGTACAGCCTTATATGTCGTTCCTGATATACCCTCCATAACGAGCAAGTCCCGATCTCAGCACACCTGCGATGAAACGACTTGGACGAATGAGCATCTTCTGGTCGCATATCTGCTGAAAAATAGATGATGCCGATATACACGTATTACGATATCAATATGATCAAAGGTAACACCATCTTGGCTGCAGCTTATCGCGTTTTTGTACCGTCCAGTACAGAATGGTACAGTCACTGGTACTCGACATGAATAGCATACCACCACACTACGTATCGCACTCCCCAATCTTGCAGTTACAAGCCTAAAAGGATTACGCCACGTGCTGTGCCTCTCCTCCGCATGAGATATTTTGCCCTTCTCTCTCTCAGCTTTGGGTCCCCGGACATTGGGATTAGCAACTGGGCAAATAATGAGGATAGTGCGCAGCGTAATGAAATCCTACTCTGCCTTCCCTTTCTCCTGCAGCATGCATGTGCTGACACGGAAGGATTCGTGACCCGCAGGACCGAGCAAGCCACAATATAATATTTGATGGAAACATTACTCACTCTGGAAATCAAACCATTCAGAAAATTGGAAACATTATCCCTTTACGAAAGTACGGAGGGTAGGTATTGTAGCAGAAGGTACTACTGGCTGGGGATAAGTTACCGGTAACTAGTTTGACAGAAAAAGAAATTCAAACCAGAAACCAAGTCAAACAACAAAAAGTCATTCCGTTGACCGTGTTTGGAAACTGCTAATGCAGCGAGTTTTGACTGCAGTGTTCCTCTTCCTGCATCCAATCTCTCCAAGTCTTCCGAATTGTTGGTAATCATCATCAAACGAGGAGAAAGCCATCTACAAATCATAATCTCGAATTCGTATCGCATTCCCCTTTCGCATCCTTCACCGCTTTAGGTATGTGGTTGTAGAATATCTTCCTCGTAAACAGTACCAATAGTTAGTTATCTGTCGGTTTATCAAACAAATTATCAATCAATCAATCACACAATCATTCGCATGTAGGTTCAGGTAGATATCATGAAATAATAATCGGTGAAGCATGCATTCACACTGCACGCTAATGGAAGAAGAATACAAATTATGCGGTAGGAATGTTGTGTGAGCTACTCTTAGCATATTGAATGCAAGCATGATATAATTAGGAAATCTCTAAAAATAAGACCTTGGAATTCAATTCTTGGAACCTCGTTACATGTCTGCAAAGTCATTATTTGGGAAAGTCGGGATATGTATGTATGTATGTATGTAGGTAGGTATATTGAAAAGCTGAGAAGATCAGATGGAGACAGTTACGCACACGGATCACAGATCCAGAAACGAAATGCACTGGAAATGCAAAATGCAATAGAAATGTCGTGAACATGTAGTGAAATACAGTAGTTGAGTAATGTAATCGGTAACCCAAATTCTGGTACAGTGGCACTCCAGATGTTGTGAAGTTACAGCACATGTTATTTATCGAGACGGGATGCAGGAAGCCGTTTGGTGGGATGGGTGAATCGGCGACTGGGCTGCTGGGCTGGGTGTTTGGGGGTGCCGACTCTGCTTGCTTTTCATGGGGACCTGGAAATGAAAAAGCGTTTCTGGGGTTTCGTTTTTTCTAGGGGTACGGTGCCATTGACGAAGATTCTTGATCTTCTTCGTTTCTTTCATGGGCGGTCCCTTCTTTTGGGTCCAGAGTTGGAGAACTTGGGCTCGTGTTACGCTTGTTATGCCTGGAGACATGGTTGATTTGAATTGTCGGGATCGTGTTTACCACGTGATATATCTCCATGTCGTGGTTCACATTGTACAGTATTTGAGGTCGTAGTCTGGTTGAAGCTTTTGAGTCGTGAAATCATTTTCATGTCGCGAGTTCTGTCGTGAATCTAGGATTAGATATATCAAATACGATATACATCATTGTCCCCATCGCACGCGTGGGTTTGATCAAGTACCTATGATGTTTCCCAATCGCGCAAACAAGCTAATTATCACGACATCCGCCAGAATAGGAAATTTCCGTGTCACACCATCTTCGCGTCCAAAGATAAACCGTGAAGCGACCTCTGATACGCATCAATCGATGTGGTATTCGGTCTCTCTGCTTGATTTTGAGTGATGAAATTCTGAATATGGTGATGTGTGGTTGGTTCCCTATCTCAAGTGAGGGGGAACCAGGTATTTGGCCATTAAATGTTGTGGATTTGGTGTGCGAATATTGGGGGTTTGGAGGTGGATCTTATCAGCAATGGTTTTATGTTGAATCTTTTCACTGTGAAGTCTCTGTAATGGTTGTTCTTTAAAGTCTTGAGATCCAGGAGAATGATTTGCTGGAGTTTGTACTCGCAATAACTCAATATCAAAATGGCAACTTCAATTGATGATGAGAAGCATGTGACGTCTACTCCTGCACAATCAAAAAGTGAAGCCGTGAATAGTTCATCATCAGCTGCTGCAGCTCATCTGGATGATAACTATGCTTTATTTCAAGATGCTAGGGATATCGAGGTCGATCCTCAAGAAGCGAAGAGAGTTCTTCGAAAGATTGATATGCGGCTCATGCCCATTCTTTTCATCACATATATGTTGCAATATCTAGACAAGAATTCCATCAACTTCTCAAGTGTGTATGGATTGCAAAACGGTACTCATCTGAAAGGACAACAGTATTCCTGGCTGAGGTGAGATCATCGATATGCATTGTTCCTTCATGATACTTTTCAGGCCATGCTAACAATGTATCTAGCTCAATCTTCTACTTCGGCTACCTATTCTTTCAATTTCCATCAGGCTACTTTCTCCAACGCCTTCCTATTGGAAAATTTCTCTCTTTGACCACTATCGCATGGGGAGTAATTCTCATCACAACTCCAGCATGCGTCTCATTTGGTGGCATAGCAACCAATCGATTCCTCCTCGGCGCTGTCGAAGCAACCATAAACCCTGGTTTCGTTCTCCTAATGTCTATGTGGTACACCTCCGCCGAACAACCTCTCCGTCTTGAAACCTACTACTGCACTAACGGCATCGCAACCATGTTCGGAGGTCTCATCGGCTACGCTGTTGGACATATCACCACCGGTCTCCCAAAATGGATGTACGTCTTCCTAATCTTTGGAGCCATCTCTATCTTCTGGGGTGTAATCTCTCTCGTTTTCCTCCCGGATCTCCCTTCCACAGCCAAATTTCTGACGCCCCACGAACGTCTCATTGCCGTTTCCCGTGTAGCATCTAATCGTCAAGGAGTAAAAAATCATCATTTCCAAACCTATCAAGCATGGCAAACGGTCAAAGATCCAAAAACGTGGATCCTATTCGTCATGGCTGTCGGCGCACAAGTTCCCAACTCCGCTCTTACATCTTTCACATCTATCATTGTGGGAACATTCGGTTTCGATACCCTCGGCACTCAATACCTACAAATTCCAGGCGGAGCAGTGCAATTTCTCGCGTTAATGGTGGGTGGATACATATGCACGAAATTCCCTCGGAATTCAAGATGCATTACTATGATAGTCGCCAACACGATCTGCATTCTCGGTTCGGGATTATTGGTTGGTCTTCCAAGTAGTAATAAATGGGGACGATTAGTAGCGCTTTGGTTATGCTATTTCCAGGGATTGGGGTTTAGTATGAGTCTCACTATGGTGAGTAGTAATATTGCGGGGTATACGAAGAAACAGTTGACGGGGGCGATCCTGTTTACGGGATATTGTGTCGGGAATATTGTTGGCCCGCAGACTTTTATTAAAAGTGAAGCTCGTGAGTGTTCCTAGTCTTCTTCTTTGCTGTCCCTCTCTCAAATTTGGTTTCTGTCTCTTGAGTTGATGAACTAACATGTTTAAAGCCGGGTATCACTCAGCGTACATAGCGATGCTAGTAGGTTATTCGGTCAAGCTAGCAATGGTTGTTGTCTTGTACGTTTACATGTATTTAAGCAACAAGAAAAGAGATGCAGAGCAGGCGGCAAGAGGAGAAATAAGTGAAGAAGAAGAAAGAGAAGCTGTGGAGAAGGGTATGATGGATATGACGGAGATTGATAATAGAGGGTTTAGATATATTTTGTAGCTATAAATATACTGGGGAGAATAGATAGACAGAATCTCTTCGTACATCTGTTTGGATTTGTGTGTGAACTTCTTAGTGGGATTCAGTAGCTAATTTCACGATCATTTGAAGGCATATCGAGACAGTGTAAATGCATTCTTAGTAATACTCGTTGAACGAAGTCTAGATACATATCGGAAATTGAACCAAAATGCTCACCCGGATGATTGATGCAAAAACTTACGGCAAACGGGGAATAGTCTTAAGTAATACCTGCAAGAACCGCAGCTGAACTGTCGGGTCCTGAGATTGACGATTAAATCTACGCTGCAGACAGCTGGCAGTAAACACAGCTAGGATGGCAAATATCAAGCTCAGGACAAAAGAGGCCTTTGTTAGACAATTTTTCTGATTTGAAAGCTCCAGTAATAGCCCAGTCATGGCTATTTGAGCAACAACAGAAGCCTACTTAGTGTTAGCATTGGAATTATTGTAGAAAGAATTTGGGAGACTAACAGCCACAGCAACCATGTTACATTCTGCGAGTGTCGAACTTTTGAATCAAATAGCCCTTGAGTTATCAAGTCTATTTTGTCCCTCTTTTAGCTCACCAAGAACTTTTGCCTGCATACACCAAGTAGTGCGGCTACCGAAAATAAACAGCGGAATGGCAGAGGGTCCATACCACTTGAATGATTGCTGGACTCTATTCATGTAGCGCCACATTATATCTGAAAGCGTCAAGATAAATCTCGCTGGCAAAAGATACAGTGCGATGAACAAAATTTTGAGAGCAGTGCGGATTACTTAAGACCGCAGCACTTCGGAACCAACTCACTGTACCGATGGAAGGAGATATTCCTGAGAGTTGAAACATCTTTCACCTTTTGAATGAAAGGTAAAATCAATTAATGCAATTAGATCGACGGGGAGGGTCAAGACTTCCCCTACATGTAATACCTGTATGCTTCATGTCCAAAGAATTATCGCAAGCATTGTGAAGTCGTTTTCCACAATGCTATGCTCTCGCTTTGCCATTATTGGTCACAGGTGTGTATGGAAACATAGCTAACGATCTCGGTATTGTATTTTGAATACGATTGTTTGTTTGAAAAAATGGCAATCTTTTATCGCTTAAATTCCGATTTCCGAGATGGGTGATACACAAAGTATTATCATTATGAGTGGCATACCGTGGCAGATTGAAGAATATGCATTTTGTTTGCCGATCTATGGCTTTAGAAACGTTTACACGTTCGATTTGAATATCAACCAAACCAGTGTTGTTTGAGTGAGGCAGATTACTCATTTGATGATTACGCTTTTGATTTCAGCAATATATCTCTGCCAATGTTTGAATCGCACGTCTGGATAACAGCAAGAACTCAGATAAAATGCCGGCGTAAACCTGGAGAAGTTTGTCTGATCAAACACATGCCAGCGCGTGAAATCAGCTCTTTTCTTGAACGCACGTGTAGCCGCAGAATATCATCCGTTTTTCTGAAGTCAATTTAGTTTTTGTATTGTTCCTATTCTAAATGAGTCCCCACACAGCCTTCTTGTCCCAATTTTCATACACAAATCTTTTAGACGTTATTTATCCCCTCCATCCCATTCTGCACGACAGTGGAAGATTCCTCGATTTCTGAGCTAGAAATCGGCTTCAGAGTCCCATTCTGAAGACACCAATAACGGTCAACATTCCATCGTGCCAACACATCAGGGTGACTAGATAAGTATATGCTCATATATTCGTCTATGATTTTGGACTCCAAACGCGTATCCTTGCCATCGAACTCCCCTAGAATCGCATACATACCGCCTGAGAAGTACAGCCCAATAAAGAACAATATGAAGACATTTCTCGAATCGGTAGCTGGTTTATCAGGATCCAGCTCACGAACCCAGAATTGACCTAGATATATCCCCAGGCCGATAAGAAGCAGAGTAGGAGAGCTAGTGAGCAAGATCTGCGAAGCAGAAAGGGAGACGACGGATATAGGGCTTGGGAGAAAACATCTTCTCTCAAAATCCATCTTGAAATCACCAATATCCAAGTCCGCTAGTGAGTAGTCGTCAGGATCACAAGGATCAAACTTGAACCCAATACTCACCGAAAGGATTGAGTTGACTGTCTGTTTCCTCCCTCGTATCCAATCACGGACATCTTTTGCTTTGATCAATCGACCTAGAATTCTTTGCTGAGTAACAGAATAGTATGCCGATACCAAAGCAAAGGTTAGACTCAGTACAAAACAAGATTTTGCTGTCCAATGAGTCTTGTTCAAAGAGTCCAACGATAATCCTGTAATGGCGATTTGGGCAACAATTGCAGCCTTTTTTTTGTCAGTACTTGGAAGACTTGGCGTCGGGCTCAACTCACAGCTACGGCGATCATGGTACATTCATCGCATGCCATCTTTTTGAATGCTAATACGTCTTCGTCTTGTAATTAGCCAATGATTTGTGCCTGTAGTAGCCATACTCTACGTCTTCCATACATCTTGAGAGACATGGCACCAACAGCGTACCATCTCCATTGTTGAGCGGTTGGCAAAAGCCTGTTAATTATGTCGAATGGAAGCATCGGATATATTAAAACCTCAAAGTAGAAGAATTTTTTGTAATTTAAATTGTGAATTTCAGGTATATAGATGTGAAGTGGGCCGTCTAAGTGTTTTGTTCATGTAGAACTGGGAAGTTATCAATGTCGTGGCAACGTATGTCATGTGTGGTAGAAGATACCATGTAATGTTACACAACTCGAATAAAGGGGCTGTTTATATAATCTTAACACATTTGGAGATTTGACTGTAGTTCTCAGCCTCAAAAGCTCTAAGGCTCATATACGCAGAACCAAGGATGAATATGACATAAACCTTTAATGCACCCAAAATCTCGCTGATAGGTCAATATATACTCCTTACAATGAAACTTCCTTCCACTTAAATAATAACTCAAGTTTTTCACATACTAATCTAATAAATATCTCATCCCCGGTATATTGTTGAAACTCAGAGCATCATGTCCTAATCTTGCTCCTAGCCCCTTACTTTATGTCTCGCTTCGCTCATAGCTTTCAACCTAACAAATTCCAGTCGTTAGTTTCGACTAACTCGAGTAGAGACGATAACCTGTGAGTATTTTCCAGCAAAAACTTCTATGCATAGTCTGCTACAATTGTGCTATCACAAAAAAGTTGAAGCTAGGCAAGGTCGCTCCCGTACTTTGAATTCGCGGGCTGTCGTGCATCATGATTAGTCATGCAATACATTAAAGATACAGCCTTAACAGTGACACTAAGAGTTTGGTACGGTTGCATTTGTAGACAATAATCATCTCAAACTCGAAGGTACGGCTTTTACAGATTGACTTCACGGCAATTTTACTGCCGTATGCGCGATCTGATGACAAAATGAAGAAGACTAGCGTCTACTGAAATTGTCGCTTAAATCCAGCACTGCCATTTTCACGCTATTATTGTCGAAATCGAAAATTATATACTCATCTGAACTTATAAATTGGGAGCCATATATATGAGCGCGATATCAAGAACATAGATCAGTCTCTGCTAAGCTTGGTAATCGTGAATGATACAGCCATGAACAACGACAGCGACAACGCCGTAAGTACTTTCATTCCTACTTAAACTAAGAAATTCCCTTTCTCTCTCTCTCTTTTTCTCTTCCAGCAGAACACTTCTTCTACAAACAAATCAAATCGCAAGACCAATCATTGATTCCATAAATGATACTCGATATCCCCGTCTTAATCTCAAACCAAACAAATACTCTCAACTACCAATCATTAACACGCGACAATGAACTATTCAAATGATTTTGGTACTTCAAACAATTCGATGAACTCATCCGCCATGATCAACACGAGTGTTGCCTCCAGATCCAATTCACCAAATCTTCGGGCTCCAGGATTATCATTCAACTTGGCAATCCGTCTAAAGAATCCAGAAACCCTTGATGATCCACACAAGCCACTTCAGTATCCATTGGCACCTCCCGACTTTTATTCTCGTTTCTCTGAAGCTGATACTGACGCCGACATGGATTTCGAAACTGTAAGTTCTTGTCCTTTGTATTAAAAACAATAGTGCTCTTGCTGACGGTTATGCAGGAATTCAATGACGGTACGGAAGAAGAGACTGAAAGTCAGGGCATGGTCGAAGACTATGAGCCCGTTATGATGAGACTTGAGCGCGAAGAGACTCGAGGAAGCAATTTCATCGATTGCCGACAGTGCGGCGTCGCTTTTGATTATTCGCGAGCATCTTTATGGGTGCCTGGCTATAAACGCACCGCGCCAAGGTCTTTCCGAATTCCAAATGAGAATACGCATCCGCAGATCGTCCGATGCCCAGAATGCGCTACAGAGAACTGTATGGGCTGCGAGAACTCTCCCCATGACGATTGTTGCTCATACGCTCAATATCGCGTTGTCTGGCATGCTTTGTGCACTGTCGATGATGCCATCGTTCAGCATCGTGTGGGGCCTTCATACCCCAGAACAAATAATCCTCTTGATGCTGCAGTGGTAAAGGCCCTTGATATTTTGATTGAGCATATTCCAAAATATGCCACCAACTCATTCGGATGTTGCGAACTTATCCGAAAAAGTATGTTGTTAGACCAGGTAGCAGTTACTATCCACAGCATGGATGAAGGAAATCGATTCGATACTGTCTGCTTACAGTCTTGGGCATTTGTACAAATACTCTCTCAGCGCCAAGATCTCTGTGGCTTGTTGTTCGAAGAGCGACTCCAGTTTTTGAGAAACTTGTCTCCTGGTGTCAGGGTTCTGGGATTCCCTGTGGCATTCTTTACGACCGAGGCAGTTTTTGACGCCGATCGATATGCGCCATTGACCTATCGTATCTGGCCCATTATAAAACAGAGCTACCAGTCTGCGCATGACTTTCTGTCTTCAAATACTCAACTGAACGATTCATGGCCCGCTGTGTTATTAGCCCGAAACATCGTTGATCTTCACGATGACTTAAAAACTAAGTCGTCCCCACCACTTGAGCTCATCAGATTCGTCCAGGGCCAGAATTTGCAATCCTTTGCAGCACGTCTCGAGGAAATGCATCGAGTTGAGGGAACCCAGTATGGGGCCGTCCATACAAACAATAGGACGGGTCCATCATCTTGGATTACGAAGAAGCGTAGTCAAGAGGATGAGGAAGCTGTCGAGGGAGATCAGGGAGGAAAGCGAAGGAAGACTACTAATTAGGTAGTGGGATACGATTTGGGAGGAAAGGGCTGTATAGAAAATCATCGGAGGAATGGCCAATGAATAATGGGAGATTACTCATTGGGAGGGATAAATGGAGAATTTGAAGTGAAAGTTTGAACTGAAGAGCATTTTCGGGATCAATTTTAAAAATGGGCAGAGAGATGTTGAGATACGCCAGGTGGCAACTGGAAGAAATAATGTTTGAAATGGATATGTCAGATTGAGATTTGGGATTGTCTCTATGAAAATATCTGGGACATGGAAAGTCCACAATCAAGGGTTATAACTTGTTGTTTAGTTAGTTTCTAGGATCATGGAAGAGCTATAGAATTCCAGATAACATTATACACAGATCCGTGACCAATGATCACTCATTTCAAGATTTAATATGTGCAAAATAAATGTGACAAGTCTTCTGAAGATTGCGATGCATTATCACTAATAGTAGTATTTAGCTCTCGATCGTTGACAACTTCTCAGAATTAACACAACGTCTTTCCTCCCAACACCTTCTGTTTTTCCTTGTAAACTTGCATGTTGTATCACGAAAATACTTAAAAGTTGGATCAGTGTCATCGGCATTTTGTTCCTGCTTGATCACGCTTTTCACACTGTTAATACACTGCTAAAACACTGCTAACGCATGTTTACTATAGAATCCTTGTATTTAGAGAATAGACCAACACATTCTTCGAGATGAAATAGTTGACCTTGGTTTGTCAAAGTCTTCATTCTTTTGCTTGCTTAATTGTTCCTTGGGCAATTCTCTGTAAAGAAGTTTGTCTATAAGTGAAAGATAGTAGCTGTTCTGCAGTTGAACCAATTAATGCTATGAATTTAGTTCTACCTCTTCACAACTGAGTTTTCTGTTTGCTATAAGATTGTTGTTTGATGCTTTACCAGGAACTCTCAACTTTCTCAACCCACATTTGCTTCTACTCCACATGTCTGAATTGAAATCTACTGTCAAGCTCACCTTAGATTTTCTTTGAACCTTGGGACTCATAGACATGACTATATTAATAAACACATCATCAAGGCTCTTGACTGCCGCTTTGATCAATTTAGCTAAAGCTGAAAAGGTATAACCACCAAAGTGTGCACTAGAATTGGATTCACACATTTCACAGAAGCGTCAATTGGCATCTTTCCTTTAACTTCATTTAATTTACCTAGTGAATAACTTCCAGTTTTAGGAGGGTTTATCTCGGCCCAAGATGACTCAGAATATCCCCGAGCTCAAACTCTCTCACCTCTCACCAAGAAACAACATGCTCCAGATTCATTGCCTAATCTTCAAAATCCAAGTAATGGGAAATTGACAGGAAGCTTTCAAAGACTGTAGCAGAGGATTTCAATTTTTATCAAACATTCAGAATAATCCCCGGAATCCCCTTAAAGTGATTCGAAAAAATCATGTCGGCAGATTGATGGAATTCTAAACCATTAAAGCAAATTCCTGTCATAAAATACACTTTGAAATTTAATTCTTTTTTCCTCCTACAGTGGCCGATATTTCCTTAAGATAGGCTGTACAGGTTCCTATTCTTTTCACTCTCATCATTGGAATCATCATTTTATCGGATAGTGACTATGAGGGTGTTGTATCGCACCCCTGTACTTACAATTAGTCGATAGTTATATTTATACCAAATTCAATGATTTCAGCAATATATAACTTCCTTGAATATGATTGAATTTCTTTAAAAATTCTATAAGAACAGATAATAAATAACAAACCAGAAAGAGACGTTCTGCGTAAAAAGACGATATACAAGCGCCAGTCATCTAAGCGCAGTGAATTATCATTCGGTGACGAGAATTGTATAACCCGCCGGGCTCATCTAAGATAATAGTGTGATAGATAAGAAGACCATTCAAAGTATCTCGAGAACACTAGGAATTCTATAGAGACCAGGGGCAGGTTTCGGTACACAGGATCGTATGCAATCCTAACCTTTCGGACCATAACCAAAAACTATTATTCATAGTCACTTCACTGGAAGTGCACATTCACAAAGACAGTATCCAGTGAAATATGGTAGACCTATGTGTACGGCTTTCTGAATCAAGCCCGGTACGGTAATATTACCAATATACGCTCTGCAGCCAAGTTTGAGAATGGCATGTACATAGCATGGACTTGATTTGATTCACAGATACCCACGGTCTTCTCAAACATAACATAAACTATAAAGCCATCCAACACAACAGGTAACCTCTCAAAACACTAAGCAGAGAAACGAAAGACGTGAAATTACAACATCAGTTCAGTAATAAATCAACTCACATCAAACAAGAACGAGAACTACATCCGAAAATTAAAGTTGACGAATCACATTCAACCGAGAGAACCTGTCCCAACTCCAACCGAAATATTAATCAGACAAACGCACCGAAAAGCCCAAAATGCCTGCAGATTGGCGAACTGATAAATCTGCAAACGTGAAGGGTTTTATTAGGAGAAAAGGCGACCCTAACCCGATGAATTGGGGATACAAAGTCGATGATAAAATTTTGAGTCATCCAAAAGCTGATATGATCAAGACCGATGTGTCTAAACCAAAGAAAGATGATAAGTGCAAGAGCTGTGAGAAGAAAAAGGAGAAAGAAGCAAAGAAGAAAGAGAAGAAGAACAGTGCCGGCGGTTGTGTAGTATCTTAGGGAGTCGTGCAGAGAGGAGGAGGTTATGGATCATGATGACGTTAGTCGTTGGCGTTGGGATAAGAGACTTGAGCGAGGATGGTTCGAGGGAATGTAGAGGAATGGGAGAATGGAATAAGGTCGCTCTGTATTTGCATTATCGCCAAGGGACAGGATTTTGAGACTAAATCGTTGGGTTTCTGACAGGTATGTCCGAATTACATACATGGGTAAGCTATTTGAGCCCCCTGTTTCGTGGCAAGATATCCTAGCGTCGGTAGAAACGCATAACAACAGAAACATACTTTGTATTCACGCTAATAGCATATGTGACGATATTTTGTTTCATAGTTCGTGAGGATAGTTTGTCGTTAAGGGTACGGTGGGTTACATGGTGCATCGCTAATCTAATTGATCGTAAGGGCCCTACCGCCCATGTCGCTCGTAGAGACCCTGTCGTGTGCCAGAAACCATTGATCTGGGTTATCGTAATACAACAATCTCTAACCGAAAGTGAAATCAGGATATTTGATTCGTGAGAAGTCTCCGAACCATCCAAACAACCAATAATGTGGCGCTTTGTCACATACCTCATCATATTTATTCGTTGTGAACTCGGAGATAAAAGATTCACATCACAGCTCTACTGGATGTTAACAAATCGTGGTGAATCATATATAAAGAACTTCTTAGTTTAGGTGTTGCAATCAAGAAACTATACACACCATATTTGCGTTTACATCTTCAACCTCTTTACCAAATATTGAAACATACTTGCCAGTCATAACCTCTTGCCACAAGGCCCCAGAATCAACTCGTTATGCCTGTTGCAAATGTCTGTAAACTCGGAACTTGTCCACTCGAATATGGAATGGTGCATTACCAGCCTACTCTGTTTGGAAATGTATTTTACCTCGGCATATTTGCTGCTCTCCTCATGATTCATATCATCCAGCTATGGCGTTGGAAAGCATGGAGTTTTTCGTGCTGTATACTTCTTGGACTTGTTCTCGGAGTAGTTGGTTATTTTGGCAGAGTTCAGATGCATTATGATCCTTTTGCTTCGAATCCATTTTTGATATGCGTCTTCCAGTCATAACCACAGGGTGCATCTTGCTGACTATCAAATAGATACTTGATATGCGTAACGATCGCGCCCGTTTTCTTTACAGCATCAATATATATAACCTATTCTCGTGTACTTCTCCACTTTGGGCCACATTTGTCGAGGTTTAGCCCCAAGGCCATCTCTGTCACTTTCATGGCTGCCGACTGGATCGCGCTTATCCTCCAAGCAGCTGGCGGGGCGATTACAGACACCGCTGCGACAGAAGCCGGGATGAAAAGTGGGACAGATATATTGGTTGCAGGGCTGAGCTTTCAAGTATTTGGCTTGATCCTATTCATGATGGTAGCTGTAGAGTATTCCTTCAAAGTAAGAGGGGAGAGAACTCGAAGACAAGCAGCAAGCTGGGCGGCAGGTGAGAGTAAAATGGGGGCAAGCGAAAGAAAGATGAGGTATCTCTGCTATGGTATGTTGGATTCCAATTTCCGTTCCTTAATCACTTTGATATTTCATCATCTACATCGTCTCGAACTTTCGACTTACAGTTCCCTCACAAATCGTCTTCAAATCTCTGCCTTAGAATGGACTAACATTACGACCTAATGTGCTTGCAGGTCTTACTGTGGCAACTGTCCTCATCCTTATTCGTTCAATATTCCGTGTTGCCGAACTTGCTAAAGGATTTCAGTCGAAGCTTGCCAATGAAGAGATTCCTTTTATGATACTCGAGAGTGCAGTTATGATATCGGCTACCACGATTATGACGATATTTCACCCCGGGTTAATCATCAGGGGGAAATGGAAAGAATCCGGCTGGGAATTGAAGGGATGGAAGAACGAGCAAAACTGATCAGATACGGGGGTAAGGGGAATATGGTGTAATTTGAGTTGGATGGAGTATCACATCATTATGCCAGATATATATGTAGAATATCTCAGATAACCATATTGCCGATGATATTTCAATGGATATGCCATTGACTCCGCTGAGAAAAATGATATATCTTGATAGAAGTAAAATAATTGTTGTTGTTAAACTCAATACAACATAGATATTTGCAGGATTGAAGAGAAACATTACTCATAGGGAATATCCAGATTGAAACCGCAATCACGGGGTATTGACACTTGATAGAGACAACGAGGAGAGACTGAAGTGAATTATGTGAGAAGCCGCTTACTTGAAATGGCCTAGTTTAAGGCTAGCGGCCGCACCGTTTGACACGGGAATATCAAAGATTTTTTCCCCTTTCGATATAGAAAGAAGCATCATATCAAAACAGGAGACAGCCCATGAATATTTGCCGAAAAGTTGCTCCAGCAAGAAAGGCCTTGAGAATAGGCAGTTTTACAAAGAGCAAAACTTGTAGTGGCCAGCTGTACCGATCGAGAGAAAGGACTACCCCGCACGTGACTATGGATGGTCCAAGTCATGTAGGTCTGGCCTGGAATTTGCTTGATGGCTCTAACACTCTAGTAGGGTCATCATGGTCATGATACACATGCTATGCCCCGCAGGCAATTTGTGATGCTTACAAAAAGTATCAGAGGATGAGTGATGTGGCAGTGAACGATGATCTCGAGATCGTTGATTTCACTCGTGGCTTGACTCCCGAGCAGCAGGAGGAGTTGAGTCCGGTGGGTATAGTTCCCTCGGAATTAATTGCTAAAGCGCAAAAGGAATTCATGAATACTGGAGCCGAAAATGATTCTGGCTTTCCTGCGCCATGCACTATTTATGAACACAGCGGATTCCCGGGTATACTTGACTCAAACGCTTGTGCAAAATAACTAGCTAACTATTATACAGGATTGAGATTGTTTCCTGCACTTCTTCCACCGGAGACACAATCTCTATTTGTGTCCCGACTCCTCCACCGTGAGCTGTCGAATCCTCTACACAAGACGAACTTTCACGATGATTATGATATACCCTACCCTCCACTTGACTCTTCCTTCTTCACTTATCCTCACCAAGCCAAGAACCAAGTTTTTGCTCCTAAAGATCCAAATTCAAAATACAAACCACTTAATGCTGCACAAGCTCTCCAAAAGAAATTCAGGTGGCTAACACTGGGTTCTCAATATGATTGGAACACCCGAGCTTACCCATCTTCTTCTCCAACTTCATTCCCAATCGATGTTTCTCGTCTTGTTACCACATTATTTCAAAATGCCTTTACTCCAGAATCAGGGGTTGTCCTAATGTACTCGACTAAAGATTTCATGCCGGTGCATAGAGATGTTCTGAGGAGTGTGAGAGGGGGCTAGCGAGCTTCACGCTTGGATGCGATGGGCTATTTGTTATTAGTAGAGATGTAAGAAAAGGAGAGGAACACATCGATAACAGGGAACAAGACTTGGTTTGTATACGGGTCAGGAGTGGTGATGTGATACAAATGGGTGGAGAGACAAGATGGGCTTGGCATGCTATGCCCAAGATCATTGCAGGCACTTGTCCACCTTGTTTGGAAACATGGCCTGTGGGATCTACGGAGGAAGGGAAAGAACCAAAAGAGTATGAACGATGGAGGGGTTACATGAAGGGTAAGAGGCTAAACATTAGCTGTAGGCAAGTGTGGAATTAATTTTATAAATCTGCTTTGATCATGATAAGTGTTGTATCATCTGTATCATGACCAGGTTCTGTCTTGGCCTTGGTTGATTTTTGGCTGAGCTGTGGGTGATACAATACAGACAGACATCAATTTTCTGAGGCTGCTGTGGCCCGTACAGTTCATACGTTCTCATGTTCATATCCGCTATTTTGATACTTCAGCCTACGGCTAATTGATTTCCGGAAGTTATACGGCATACATTTCTCTTTTTACATATAAAGGTCTCTGCTTCCCATCAATCCTCTATTCCATATACATCTGATCTTGATATCTCACCATCATAAATATCAACTTCATTGACAAATCAATCAACTTAACTTCCAGAAATTCTTACGATGTCTACCAAAATCGGCAAAACATTCACACCCTTTCGAAAACTCCCACTCGAGCTCCGCCTTATGATTTGGGGATTGGCAAAGCCAGCTGGTCGAATCATCGAACTTAATCTACTTGAAAGATCTACTATCAAAGAAGAATGGAACTTGGATCGATTTCCCCAAGCTTCGGATCAGTCTGACCACGCCGAGAACGGTGACGAAAACCCGATCAGATACAACAGATTATGGGGCTTTAAATCCAACGCTTCAATTCCAGCACTCCTACTCGCGTGCCGTGAGTCGCATGGAGTCGCATCGAAGTGGTATCCGCGAGTATTTCAATGCTATGCTGACAACCCGCAAATATTGCGATTCCCTCCCGCTATCCAAGGACTAGGTTCAGTCTCACTCCCACAGACGTACTTCAATTTTGAAGAAGATACACTCTTCATCACGCCCGAAACGTTTCGTCCCAGATACAATGCTGAAAATGACGAAGTATCGCGATACCTCGATAATCGCGCGGGAGTTCCGGGACCAATCATACCAGGGGTTTCCAGGCTGGTGTATGATCCAGATTTTTTAAAAATTGAGAACCTTGCTATCCAATTGACTTCCGATTATTGGATTTTGTACTGGGACGCCTATTCGGAGTGGCTGGCCAGATGTCTGGAGCGTGGATTTCGCAACCTCAAGACGCTTATCATTGTGGTCGATCAACATGTTCTATCGCCTCGCTGGAGAGAAACGCAGGGCGTGAAGATGTCGAAAGAAGATAGAGCAGATCTTGTATATATGGATAAATTGATCGATGTCCAGGATGCTTGCCGTTTCTACCACCCCGATCGTCCGATTCTCGAGGATGAAAAAAGAAAGTGGATAAAACCAAAACCCAATGCCTCTTATTTCGCACAGAGCCATATCAGAAAGTTGACCCAACACATGATGGGAGTTCTCAGAGAAGAGCATATTAAAGCTGGTAAATTGCTGTGGGATCTGCCAGAGATACAATTCAAGATTGTCCTTCCCGCGAAGATTAAAGCAAATTTACATCGGAACATGCAGCGATACAAAAAGAAATTTGCTGTTTGGCAAAGAGAAGCTGCTTCAAAGTCGAAGAAACAGGAAGATATCTCATGAATTAACAGTACTTGCCAATGATTAGCACAAGTCAGGATGACACTAGATAGGGAGGCTTTTTGCGGATGGATTGGTTTGTAAAGTGGGAAGATCATTACAGTATTTCATATGGTAGACGAGTTGACAGTTACCAGGCCTTAAGTGACCTCAAAATTATCAGATTCTCAACAACGTCGATTTCAACAATGTGCAAAATATCGTCAAAGATTCTGAAATTTTTGGAAATTAGATGGATCAAATGTAAATGACAGAGTAAAACAATGAGATACGTGTGAACCTTACTTCGTTGAGTTATGCGCTGAGGATAAAGCTTGAATATTCACATTTGCATAATTCTTTTTAAACCTGGCGACTTATGGAAGTGCATCGGTACCGATTCTATTGACGGGTAGTCAGCTCGTCGTCCCGTTCACCAACCCTTGACCAGAATCTCCTCATTTCACGTGTGGTGTTTGCATTTCTGAATTCAATCAATGATGCAGAGCTTGAAAAGAGATATTTGGGTGTTTAAGAATGCATATCCCATTGGTGTATCATAGGATAGAATAAAATAGCTCGGGAGCCTGTGTCGGCTCGGTTGTGTGACATGAGATAGACAGCCGGCTTGAAATGTGGGCAGGGGGTATGCTAGATAATCACGATGTGACCTCGTCAGAGTTCTCCGCGTTTCTGTAATAATCCACTCAAAATTCCCAATTCCACTCATACACTCACTTATGTGACGATACGGATCTGGCATCTACGAGCTAGCTTTAACTCAAATCTACTATATAAACGTACCCATTCCACTACATTGTCCAATTACTAAAATATACCATTTCACCTCTGAACATGGACAGCTACATGTTTCGGAAACATGTCAGCCGTCACAGTGTCATCTTTGAAGAAACTCAATATCTGGATATATCATGCTATTCAGTAAGAATTGAATTCCACTCCGTTTAAAATGATAGCAGTAGTTGAATGTATCGTTAACCTGATTAGGACCCTGCTCTTGATACAATAGAGCAATGTCCATTGAAAATGGATCAATTTGATGATTTCATTCATCAACGGGTAGATATTCCAACTTCTCCAGCCTATTTATGATTCTTGAGAAGGCTGATGGAATTTTCGATCCAGGAAACTTTCGAACCACCTCCACTACCAGCAGGGGCTACTCAATTATCGGGCGTACGATTAGTGTAAATTGACGTGTTTGCATGTATGTGAAATATCATCCATTGAAGCTGACTTTTAATAGCCTTCAACAGAATGCCAAGCATCCGGATACAATGGGAGGGAATACTATAAGTCTCCGGCATGAAGATTATGTGACCATGGTCGAATCGTGGAAATTGCCACTTAGAGCTATTGAATGCTCCAATGCTCTTAGCGTGCTGTTTTGGTCCTCTGTAGAAGATACTGGAGGAAACCCACATTTAAGTGCGTTTTAAATACACTTGGATGTTTTATATTGATATCGCGATCGTTAACCCATATGTGTGCAGAAATAATTTTCCGGAAGGGGGACGTACGAAAGAAGGGGGTCACTCGAGGTTGGGAGCTGATCTTAAGCCACGAGATAAAAGCTGGCATCACACGAGGCTTCTGCAAAGGAACTGCAACGACTGAGATCTTCGAGAGTTTACGAGCGTTAAGAGCATGCATTTCGGAGACTTCACATCCGATGCTTCTCCCGTTTTTAATTCTAAGTGAGAAAATATCCTACGGGACAGAGTTGAAGCAAAAGCGTACTAGAGACTGGCTACGCATGCTGGAACTGGCGGTTGCGGATCACACAGGACACAGCAGAACTCCAGTAACAGGTCAAACACTGCCACTTGACTTAATCAGCATAAATATCAACAGGTGCTATGCCGAAACACTGTGGGCCTCCCCTTTAGCTTACATCCGCGCCATAGAGTCTTTTCTGGAGACCATGGATTTATTCAAGCAATATATCCCTTTAACCGGATTAAAGCAGTTCAAACTCCAGGAAATACATGACAAACTTATTCCGGTATTAAACCTCTACAAGGTCAAACAACAGGGGGTAGAGATTTATGCGAACACAACCCTCAAGAGACTGGAGAATGAAAGAAGTCTTGCAAGTAACCCCTACACATAGGGAAATCATTCTATTCATCACTAATCTTGGTATCTAGTCCACAATTGTGCTCGCTCAACGCGACAGCAAGCTGCAGTACGACATGGGCAAGCTACAGTACGAAATGGCTCTAGCCAGCAAAAGGGACTCTTCTGCCATGAAGACTATCGCTATACTAGGTATTTTATTTCTCCCTGGGACATTTGTTGCTGTAAGATATTCTCCATACCCATGAACATGAGAATTTTTGCTAAACAATAACCTCGAGTCAATACTATCCACCACTTTTTTTGATTTCCAGAATGCATCTAGTCTTCGTGCAGCAGTTTCTCCAAGCTTTTGGATTTACTGGGTTATCACAGTTCCGGTCACGCTGATCATTCTGGGATTGTGGTATTTGTGGGAGAGAAAGCGAGATGGAAGGTTTGTGAGGGAGAGGAACCAAAGAGAAGAAACCGAAGACCTTGCTTCGGAGATTGATTCAGAAGATTATAACTTGGTGTCGTTGCAGAGAGCGAGACCGTTGGCAGACTATGAGTAAAATCGATACAATGTGCTTTTTATTATTTTATCTCAGGCTTCTTCTCCGTCAAAAAGGAATTATAGTATTGGCTTTGATGAATGATCAGCCCGGCCGAAGGAACGGGAATTTTCAGAATCTATATAGAAAAATTGGACTTATGGTCCACAAATCAATATCAAAGTCCTCAGGGAAGTACTTGAAGCCAGGAGTTAGAGTCTCAAAATTACACGTCTATCAAAGTTTGGCCTAGAAAAAAACCATGTAATGTCAGACTGCTAGCATCATAGGTGCCTCGATTCACACCCAACAATTTCTACCTGACACTTCCGACTTAAAATCCGATACCGGCACATTGGCCGACATCGATATACTTGTCTCTGAGAGATTCTTCAAGTAGATCACCAAAGTTGGTCAAATGTTCCATCATACTGTCAAGAATCAAACAACAATAGTAGGTAGGTAGTGGTACAGAGTCATTGGCTCTTACTGTCTTATTTTGCCTTCACCACTATACTTACTACACTGTCTCCGGGAAAGCCAACATCTCAAACCTCAAAAAGCAAGCTTATGATCTCAGCATCTACTTTAGAATTGCTTCGATGATAACCTTCACATACTGTAGAGCCAAGTGCTACATTGGTATTTCAATACCCTGATTAGGACTAAAAAGCATCGTCCACGAGGTCCCAAAAGTTGAATACTAGAATCAAATAGATATGCTAGTGGAGATATTTGTGGGATCGATCTCGAACGAATAGAAGGTAATAGACCGTATTCCTATGCTGTTTGAATCAAGCTGTAGTCCTCAGCCAGGCCGTAGACCAGGCTCTTTTGTGGCATCTTCTCACTTAATCAGTCCGACAACTGAAAGGATTAATATCATTACTACTAACTTTTAAAAATTGTGTATAGCAACAATCCTTGGATCAAGGATTGTGGGTGCTGACTACTTACGGTTTTGATGAGAGTCACGATAACGATCTGATTTCCTGTTTTGGAAGACATGTCCGGGAAATTTCTCTCCACCCCACCTCTGCTACGCGCAACTAGTCAAGTCGGTCTTAATCGATAATCATATTGAGTCATGTAAAGGGCGCGGTTAGCTGATTATAGTCAATGCTGATTTCACTGAGCTGATGTCGATCTATACAAGCATTGCTTTTCTTCTCATGAGGGCTTTAGACGTTGTACGTGATGTTATTGCGGAGTGAATTTGACACTTTTTCTGACTAAATAGGCACTTAGATTTCATTTGATGTTGTTGGACAGAAATGGTTTATATGCCACTGGTTCATCACCGTATTTAGTTGCTGTGTTATTGTGTTTGATGACTTCCTCCTGTTTTTCCGTTGATGTAAACGCGGGCTTTACGACAAGGCTTAGCGAGATACCTCCTGTTGGAGCTTTTCGGGACCGAGCAGAGCTTCGGGATTACATAATTGCTCGATGGTGGAGAATCAGACCATCTATTAGGGGACATCACTACAAGGGCTTTCGTATAAATACCAATAGGAATCAATTGATTGAATATAAGCTTTGAAGCCAAAAAATTTTCCTGAACATGAGTGAGCATGAATCTGAAGGAAAGACTTGGGGCTAATGATGACTGTCGAGGCTCCTCTACTTCCGTTGTTGTCATGTCCAAAGAGATCAATGTCAAACTATTTTAGGAAATTGATTAGAACTTCTGGTAGTAGCCAGGGTAGCTGTGTTTCAAAACGGTTAAATCCTTCTGTGTGGTATCTTCATGATGCCGTGCAGTGGACCCCTAGCCGTGGCTTGGATATTTCTCCGCGGAGGATAGTTGCAAGGAATTTAGAAATTGCTTAGTGGCTACCTATTTGTGTGATATCCAATCGCTGTAGGAAACATGCTAGATGCCTAGAGTTTGAAATGGTATTTAAATTGATGTTACCTGGTATGACGTGAAAACAACGTTATCTGTAGTTCTGGCCGTTGCCAACAACACATTTCGGGATATAACCATTTTCTCACGCAACAGGGGAGGGTGCTAGGATGATTCCCTCGATGGCTTCTGTACGAAACGTCGCCGCATCTATGTTGTTGCTTTCGCTTAGCTTCACCTAACTACACGAAATTGTGTTGAAGGAGTGACTCTAATCGAAATTCGAAAGGTGGCTTATATTATCTTGAAGATAAATATATACATTTAAGACCGGAACTCGTCGGCATCAGGTATATAAGTGGATTTGTGGATCTCACCGACCGTTTCAAGCCCCGATTCTCCACTTGAGACGAAAACAACTTTGTGATTTTTTGATGACTATGGCATTCCTTCATGTGTGAAGCTCATGATGACTTGAGCGAAGCTTGCTTATTCCAAGGCAACTCTTGCCAGACTGTCAATAATGGGCCAAAGTCTCCAAAATTATCAGAGGAACAATAGCGCTATTCTTTCTGGAAATAAAACTCAGTCGTTTTAATACCCGAAAAGTCCGCTCTGAAATTACCGGAGCGTCTGCCGGATTTCGAGCTAATTTTGGCATGTAGAAACTTGATATGGAGAGTCTTTAATTTTAACCTTGACTTCCACGTGAAAGCTCTATCTAGTACTCTTGATCTAAGATTTTGGATTAACACGGGTGACCTATTTCAAATGGTAAAGTCATATCCCATCTTTCTTAGCGCGGGCTAACTTTGGTCGATAAGGTGCGTGGGAAATAAGAGTACTGTCGATTTCAGAGTCCAAGCTTCAACTTCTCACGGTCAAGCCTATTAGCGATTCAAGAAAGACATAGTCCTTCCAAAAGAATGTTCAGCTTTCTCAGAACGGCGAATGCGTCAAGCAAAGGATCCTCTTTTGTCAGATTCACGTTACGTAGAAAACCTCTGAGTAAAGAGAGAGCTTTTGCTATATTAACCAATAATATGCATACAATAAGGTATACAGTGCTCTACAGCCATGATTGCGGGTCAATACAGCAAAATGAGGCAAATATTACTCGGGCTCGATCGTTCTAACGGTTCCTACGTTTGCGGAGCAGACTTCGAAAGCCTGTGTCAATCAACCTAATCGCTCTCCGCTTCCCTTTGCAGTTAGTGTTATACGGGACGTCCTTTATGAGCACTTGGTGGCTCTAGCTCAGATGGTGAACAGTGAGCACCAACTGCTATTAATTCGACATGTCAGCATGGTTGAAATATGTATGTAGCAAGTGTGCTCGTATCGAGCTGGAGTTTCAACATCCAGTATTTTGGAAAGCTTCATTCTTAGTTCGGCTTTCCTTGTGTTTGTTCATTTCCACAAATATCTTTTTTGACGCTCCAATCAGCGAACATTAATTTAGAGCACCCCATTCTACCATGAAACGCACTCCCGAAAAGACAAATGTTAGAAGCGCTGGATCTCGTTCGCGTACCGGCTGCATAACATGCAAGTAAGTGAATGATCCATTGAGCATCTATTGTACTAGTTCGTCGCAATTATACCTTGTTGTAATTCTGATTTCATGATTGGATCAGGTCCAAGGATTGGATGCAACGTCAAGTGAGAAATTTACACTTCCGTTTCAACACTCAACAAGTACTCGGAAACTGACAGAAACTTCAAACGTAGGATTCGACGTGTAAAATGCGATGAAGCAAAGCCAGGCTGTCAAAGATGCAAGAAATTTGGCCGTATGTGTGATGGATATGATGAACGCAAGAGCGTTAGTTTTCAGCCACAAACGAATTCAAGGAGAATTGTTCCTCGAATAGAGACTAAGCAGTCATCACAAACAATATTGATACCCAAATCTCTACCATTTTCATTTCCAATTACACTCCTTGGAGAACAAGAAGCAATATATTTTCAAACATTCCAATGCGAAACTATAAATAGCCTCGCAGATGGCCGCAAATCGCCACTTTGGCATGGAATAGTGAGGCATGCTTGTCTGGAAGAACCATCTATCTTTCATTGCGCCATAGCCATCGCTGCTCTGGATAGAGCATGTAAATCTAGGTCATTGAATTCCCCCTCGGACTTTGACTTTCATCATCGTCATGCACTTCAACAATACGGAAAGGCGCTCAAAGAATTACAGAAAGTAATCTCTCGAGGCGACTCTTGTATTCGCACTACCCTCATTTCCTCTTTACTCATCTTTTGTTTTCAAAATTTTCATGGGGATGTTCGACTTGCCATAAACAATGTCAGGATGACAATAGATCTCATGTACAATTGGATCTCCAGCCAGACGAATACTACTACCCATATTGGTTTCAGTCCCGCACCGCATATCCTCGAACACGAAGTGGTTGAAGCATTTTCTCGTCTTGATGCGCATCTCGTAAATGTATGTATAACTTGGGTCATCCTAACACGACCTTCATCTTCTATATCACTCAAATAAAGGCCCAGCTCGACTAACATGCTTGTTTTTAGTGGATTGGTGTTTCCCGGTCTTCATGCGATGTCATTCCTCTCGTCTCCCCAGATTCTTTCGACGCTTTGCCAATCCCAACCACCTTTACGTCCCTGAAGGAAGCGAAACTTTCTTTGGACAACATCATATCACGACTATTCCTGGACAAAGTTTCCGGCCCAATTGCGCCCTCACTGACAAACATTTCCCAATACGCCATCTCAGAAGCCTCGGAGCCTCCTTTTGCAAAAGAACTGAGATCTTGGACATCCGCATTCCAACCAGTTTTTGATATTTTTCAATCTCGAATTGATGGAGACCCAAAAGATCATAGCGAATTTATCCCTGCCGGAATCTTGCGCTGTCAATGTTTAGCACTAAAAATCGTCTTCTGGTCATCATATTATTCTCGACTGAACATCGAATCATGCAATTCATCTTTTCACTCCCCATCTCCAAATGCTATCCAATCATCTTCTCAATTCGCAAATAAGAATAATGATAAAGAAGTACACAAACTTTTAATTCCAGTGTATTCCGAGATTATCACCACTTTCAGAGCCATAGTCAATCATCCAGCATTTGTCAAATCGTTTATTTTCGGATGTGGTATTCTACCTCAACTTTTCGTCGTGGTGTGCAAGTGTCCAGATGAAATGATAAGACGAGAAGCAATACAGATATTGAAGGATTCTGGAGGAAGAAGAGAAGGAATTTGGGATGCGAAGACTGTGGGACTTGTTGGCGCAGATATATTGAGATGTGAAGCTTTTGATGAGCACGTAAGCAGCCTTCAGAATCAGGATGATTTTTCTTCTACTGGAAACCATTTAAGTAAGGAGATTATCATTGAGAACGATGCATCAGCTTGGGATGATTGTAAATATACACGTCAAGGGATTCGATTGCTGAAACCTATAAAGTGGGTTGAAGTCCACTTTGCATATCTGGGGATGAAGATGAAGTTACCGGTACTGAGGCAGGAAGAAGTGAGGAATGAGAGGGAAGGAGTTGAGCATTCTCGGGAGAGATATAACGATGAGGTCGAGGAAATGCATCTGCTGGATTGGGTGGAACAATATCTTGGGCCGCGTGGAGATAGTTTAGTTTCGGGATTTGTTAGTCTATGATGTCTTGGAGTAGGATCATAATTGGATTTTTGGAGTTTTGGAATATCAGTTGGCATATAGCTGATGATACGCGGTTTTGGAGGGGGGGATGTTTGGGAAGTTTAGAAATTTTATGTATTACTCGGAGCATCCAAGAATAGACAGACATGAAAGGAAGTATGGAGTCTTTCAGAATCTTTGAATGAAAGATACCTATCTTGCCCCGTGACTAACGAAATATAACTGAACAAGTCATCTGATGCTAGGCGAGGGGCTGTCACTTGCATCATGATGACCCGCACTAGCATCTGATATTTCACCCCAATAGTTGAGACCATTCTAGCTATGTTTACATCATCGTTCAGACGATATCTATACGAGATCCATTTCGGGTACCCGTGGACATGTTATATGAGTTCTATCAAGCCATATGTTCTGTTGTTGATCATACTCTTGTTTTAGCGTATGAACACGGGGCGGTTCTAATGAGATAAGAATACAAAGAGAAGAAGGCGTACAACTTAATCATATATGTATATATCCCAATAACATGAAGGGTTTCTTCCTAGGTAAATGATCAATGATTTATTAAGATACAATCACTGGTAGTGCTTCATACGATACTCAATGTGACTGATGATAGGTATTGATAAGAAATGCCAAGTCTTTTTCCAGGGTAATGCGCCGCTAACTTTTAGACTTCACGCTAAAAAGCACCCGCCACTACCATGACCTTGACTACCTACCCACGACATCATCCCGAATGACAACAAGACTGAATATCTGATCCTAAATAATTACAATCACAACATATATACTTACAATAACAACTTGCAATCACCACAAAGAATCGCAATTTGTATTCGATAGACTGCAATAACCACCAGCTTCAAAATAACTCTTGAATTGTGGAATTACAACTTGTCCGTCCCACACTTCCCAGCTCCGCAATTCTTATATACGTCAAGAATCATGATGTCCACCGCACTTTCAACCACAACTCCCACCTCCTCATTTCTTACTCTTCCTTCCGAACTACGTCTGAAAATCTGGTCCAACCTTCTTCCCGGTCCTCGTACTCTTCCAATCCGCTGCTCTCGAATCCACAAATCTTATTACACTCCTGTTCCCACTTCCGTCCTCCTATCTATCTCTTCCGAAACGCGAACTCTATTTCTCGAACACTATTCTCTCCTCCACCTAAATCCCTCTTACAACTCCACTATATACATAAATTTCGCCCTCGATACACTTTGTTTCGACCACGAAGAATGTTCACCTATCGGAGATTTGGCTATGGATTTCAAGACTTGTGCGCAGAAGGATTTGATTGAGAGAGTGGATATCGATGTACATTTATGGGAAATTATGCGATTATTTCGATTTGATGCTTTGGCGGAAATTAAATATTTATATGGACTGAAGAATCTGACATTCGTTTTGAGGAAATCTGATGTCGAATTGAATAATGGAGAAGAGGATGAGGCTAATAATACGAGGGCGAGGACTAGGGATGTATGGGGAGGAAGGATGTTAATCGAGGGGCAGACAATGGATAGAGAGATTGCGCAATGTCAGTGGTATGTTTCGATGATGAAGTGGGAGGTGGAACATGGGACTCATCAATGGACGGACTGTAAACCGAATGTGCAGATGTGCATTATATGAGAAGGAGGTTGATGAGACGAATACGATTGAATGGTGAGAATGGGGTTTATCTCTAACGGAAGTTCTGCGGTATCAAGATTTATGTCTAAAATTCACCAGGCGTGAGAAAACTTCACTTAAGTCTTTACGAATACACGAATATGCGAAGATACACGAAACAGGGATTGCATTAGGAGAATAAGATCACACTGCTCACGGATTCTCTATAATGATTCCAGTGTTACCATCTCCGCTGAAACAATGGAACCTGCGCTCTCAGAACATACAAACACATCCACAGATGTGATATATCAAGCTACGAAATGAATCTTTAAGCTGGTTTTTTGTCCAGTCTCCCGATTATCCAGGTCTCACAACAGGATCTTCATTGCCTATAAAGTTCCTGATATTTTCTATAGGAAGTTTCCTCCTTGAATAAATCACTATATCACCATCAACCCACATCACAGACCGTCTAGGATAAATATCAAGTCTGTCAACCGACACTGGAGTATCTCAGTCACCTAGCAAGGGATCTCTTGATACAAGGACACGAAAAATCCGCGGGATTGGATTGAACGGTTTAGCTACTTAGGTTGTAGATAGGCTTCTCAAATACACACACCTATCAAACCCAAAAAATCCATCGTTACATTACCACGAGGTGTAGATAAAAGTATCTAGCTTCGATTAGATATGGAGATAAAACAAATTTTACGTTAGTGAAATGAGTTCTTGAGTTCAAGTGTCTTACATCCTAAATTGCATATCGGGAATGGAATAAAAGTTACCTTTTACATAGCTATCCGGATATATAAATGAATATCAGTCAAAATTTCACATGATACATTCTTTTTTGCCGAGATACATATATGGATGGGGTTAGGCTGTATATAATGTATATAATGTATAAATGTTTACAGATTTGGGAGATCAAATGGTCAAATAGATCTCATTTATAACTTGCAAGTTTTGGTTAGGTGTATGAATGTGTGAGTGGGATTTATTTGATGAATGTAAGATGTGTATATATATGAGAAGAAATCTATCTAAACTATACATCCCCCAAAGTCAATAACTCATCCCCTCCCGCTTTACCTCCCCCAAAAACCTCTCCACAATCTCCAGCACCTCCTCAGGTTTCTCCTGCATAACCCAATGGCCCGCCCCGGGCACCACCTTGATCCCCTTAAACCTCGTACACCTTTTCCCCATCTGTTCCAACACCCCCGGTTCCTGATACATTCCCCAATCTTTCTCTCCACTTACAAAGAGCATCGGGACATCTAATGTTCTTCCTGCGAAAAGCTCGAGTTCTTGAGAGTAATAGGGTGATGTGACAACGCGGTACCAATTTAGCATTCCTTGGAATCCCGTGCGCGCGTATTCGGATGCGTAGACGGCGATGTCGGAGTCGGGGAGCCAGGTTTCCATTTGCGAGAGAGAGGTGGGGGGGATGGGTTGCATGTGCGTTTGGATTACGTCGCGCATGGAGGAGTGCAGGGGCATGATGTAGTAGGGAGGGAGGTTTTGGAGTTCCGAGGTGGAAATCGAGGTTAAGGGGTGAGGACTGTTGCCGCTCCAGTGCCCGGATTTGAGATAGAAGTAGCCGCGGAGGAAGGAGGGGAGGGTGGAGAGAGGGGTCGAGAGGTCCGAGGAGGCGTGGGCGGTGGAGTAGTAGGTTTTGTAGTGTTTGAGGGGCGTGGAGAGCTGGGAGAGAGAGGTGTGGATGGCTTCGGTGGGAGCTGAAGTTGGCGGGGTTTGGGTGGAAGTGGGGAGGAGAGGGGGACCTTTAAAGGGATGAGAGAGGAGGATGACGCTGGGTGGGTGTTAATATTTATTTTTGAGGAATAGAAATACGAGTTGATAGGGGAGAAGGGAGGAAAGAGAGGATATATAAAGAAAGAAGAAATAGAAGAGTGAAGATCATTCAATGAAATGACGCTCCGCTGGCCCTCCGGGAGCCACTGCCGTGGAGGCAGAACATTACACTTCTATCGAGCGTAGCGAGCTATGGGGGTTTGGGGGCTTGCCCCCATAAACAAAGCACGTAAGTAAGTACTTGCTCACTCACTTACAGACCCGCTCCTAACGAGCAAATCACATCCAAGAACCTCACACATACACAAAGAAAACAGGGAGCCATACGATTTAAACAAATCCGGTCTCACAAGCGCACACCAGCCCGCCACCACGGCCCCAAAATCATGACCTATGACACACGCAACATCTTTATGGCCCAGGGCGTCAACTAAAAATACCATATCGGTTACGAGACGAGAGATAGTAGTGGTGTGGAGGTCGACGGTGGAGAAGGGACGGGTGTCGTGGCCGGTGGTGCGGCCTGCGCCGCGTTGATCGGGAGCGACGACGTGGTAGCCGAGGGAGGAGAGGGAGGGGAGGAGGTAGCGGTAGGAGAAGGAGAGTTCGGGGAAGCCGTGGAGGAGGAGGAGGAGGGGGTGGGAGGGGGAGCCGGAGACGAGGAGGTGATGGGTTAGGGTGGGGGTTGAGAGGTAGAGGGAGGTTATCCCTGGGGGAAGGGGGAGGGGTGGAAGGGAAGTAGAGGGGGAGGTGGACATTGTGTGGTTGCGGCGTCAGAAAGTAGACGTGATGGATGCGGAAATCTAGAGATTAATTGAGATATAAAACAACACACCCATCCATGTATGTATACTAAGTACTCTTCCCGGTTCTTGCCCCTCGATTCACAATATTTCCCTCTCTCCATATCTCCACAAGTCAGATTTTCAAATCACGTTATGACTTATTACAGTACATTAATTAATTAATTGCGGAGAAATGATCTACAGAGAAATGTATATGTACCTATATGTATCCTCGGTATATCGTAGGGATGGATGATTTTAGTTGTGTTTGGTCTGAGCTTAGGATGATGAGATTCGACTTGATGAGGATGTTGTGACTTTTGTATTATGTAATGTTATAAAATTTGGGCAAGTTAACTTACTTAGTAGATACTTGATAAATAAGAGATAGAAGAAAGGAGAGAATTAATTGAGTATTACGATAGATACTAGATAGTTTTATCTCTGGAAGGAAGGAAACCATCGAGAATCAATTTGTCACTCGAAAACACAATACAATAATAACGTTACTGTCTCTATGCTGAAAGCTACGAGTACCGCGGTACTTATCAGTATTGCATCTACGTCATGATACATTCCGTACCTGGGTATTTGAGATAGCGGGCCCATAGCTCAAGTCTAGTCCTTTCGAAGTGTGGCTTAGCTGGAGATGTTAGATTGATCTACAAACTGAAGGGATGAATGCCATGGATGATGAATGGGGATCTGGTGCTCTATCACTCTGTGTGATGGATTGTTGGATTGTTTCATGGGAAGAGATCATTTTCGCACGTTGAACGTGGTTCTGAACTTCAAGTCAAACTTGGGACTGTGTTGGATTGTATGGGATTGTGGGAGGGTGTCTATGTCAAGCAATGGCTGTTTCTGATTTGCGATTGAAAACATAGGGAGGCGGTGGCTGGCTGGTGTTTGGTGCGACATTCTCCCAAAGCTTTCAATTACATTACTAGGTACCGAAGGAGGGATTTTATTACTGGGTTCCCTTAACACTGTTCTTGTGTGTATATGTATATGTGTATGTGTGTGTGTGTGTGTGTGTGTGTGTGTGTGTGTGTGTGTGTGTGCTTTGTTCGCCCAACTCAATACTCAAGTACCTACCTGGTAATCATTCAGTTCCTGGCAAATAACAAGGAACCAAGTTGTATATAAACTTTCCAACTGTGAACCTTCGAATCATGTAAATACCTACCACCTACCTCTCTTATGTAAGTGCGCACTCAGATATTCTCGATGAAAACTCATTTGGTAAGATCAAGGAGTACTTGTGTATCGAACAGATATCGTTCAATTCCCAGCAAAAGGGTCGTGAGAAAAGGGAAGTGGAGTACTTACCCAGTGCTTGTTATGATTCCTAGGCAATTGTGGGAATTGGATTGCATGCGCTGCCGTCCAAACTCACAATTCACCGGTCGAGGGAAACTTTTATTCGTACTCATCCATTATCCGGCTTTTCACTCTCGAGCTGCCACGATCAAGAAGTTAAATGATTTGATTTGATTGATTGAAATGGATGATGAAGAGATATAGGTCGACCTATACTCACTACTGTGTGCTGGTGTTTTGATGGTAAACTTGGAATTAATAGAGAAATCTTCAACACGTCTTTTTTTTCTCTTTATTCTCATCTCCGTCTCCATCTCCATCCCCATCTCCATCCCCCTCTCTGCATTGCCGTTTGTGAATTTAATGAACAAAATTCACATTTGCATCACTTTATTAAAATAGCTACATTTGATTGGAACCATTCTCATTTCGGCTCTCCAACATATACCTACTGAGTACTTTCTGAGTGCTTCCTGAGTACATAACTTTATCTAGACCTCACTTGTCTCTCTCCAAAGTTTCACACTTCACCTCAACTCACACAAAATCCCATCAAACGTCCTACCGCTATCGATCCCTCCCACCTTTCAATGATCTGATCCTCACTCACTTGCATTTTGGATGCATCCATCTTCTTAATTGTATCCACCTACTTTAACATCTACTCCATTTTCGAGCATCAAAGTTACTCCATTCGAAAGTTCTTGGATCCTGATCTACCACCAACAACCAAAAAGAGAAACTCCATAACCCACTATTTCTTCTGCACACAAGCATCATCAGCCACAACTTCAATTCAACCAAACAGTGTTCAAGGGATTCCCAAGCATCCCAGTTGCCATTCCAAATTTCATTCGCCTACATCACCAGTCATCATCGAATCAGTGAATTGGCGTGACGGGATCGTCATATTCTGGTATTGTTATCTTACGGAAAGGGAAGATAGTCATCGGAATCTCTTCATTTTCCATTCCCTACATTATTATTTTTTCAATGCGATAATATCCTCATTAGCCCATAGTTGGCAGAGGGTGAAAAGGCGATTAAAAGCCTACGACAATCAACATGTTTGGAAATAGAAGGAGAAGAGCGGTTTCGAATCCGGTATGTGAGATTTCATTGTCCTGCATTCCACTCCAACATTTCATCAATTTTTTTCAGGTTGCGCGACAGCTCAATCGCAATTGGCTTCCGGGGAGATCTCTTCATGGAATAGAGAGTACATACAGCCACATTCGTAATCAATGCTAACAAGTTTCATTCTACAGCCAGTAAATTCAAATGTCAACGCATCTGCCGCGACCGCCGCGGCACAGGCATTTCTATCTTCTCAAGCATCAAATACGTCCTTGTCTTCCGCTGCAGCAGCTGCCGCATTACGATCCCGACCAACAACACCTACCTCGGTGGCAGACATTCAAACCAAAAGAACAATTCGGAGAAACGGTTCAACCTCTTCTGCGGGAAGTTCTGTAGGTGGTTCCGTACGTGGTCCACCAGGTTCGACCCTTGTGAGGAGAGGAAGTTCCGGTTCGATGACTGAACGAACTTTTCGGGAATCGTCACCAGTCCCAAGTGCATATGATGCGCCGCCTGTACCGGCAATTCCGCAAAATATCACAAAGGCTGGTGGGAAGAAGTCGCGAAGATCTGCAAGTATGGATGCACCTGGATTGAGAATCGCATCGCCACCTCCAAATAAAACTGGTGGGAGAGGTTCGAGTCTTGGACCATCAGCGACAGCATCGCGTGGGTCGGGTCCAAGAAACCCAAGTTTATCCAGTGTATCTGAGATGAATGGGGAGAGTAGAGGGTCCGTCAATTTTTCCTACCCTACGAGTACAAGGCCAATGTCTCCTGAACAAAGACGGCTAACATGTTCTCCAAGCTTAAGTACAAGCCCAAGGATTGTCTCGCCACATAACCAAAATCTAGTATACGATCCAAATACCAGGCGCTTCTTACCGCTAGCGGACATTCTAGCTATCGAGCAAAGATTGAATGGAATTGCTAATGCTCCAGTTAAAAAGAAGAAACGAAATCCGCCTGCTCAAGGTACGCATCTAGCAGCTGGATCGGTGGGTGGAAGGATACAGGGAACTGCGGTGGATGCAATGGAAACGGCATCAAACACATCAACCACACAACAATCGATATCACAACCTTCCCAGCAACCCATACCACAACCTTTCCAACAACCTGTATCACAATCTATCCAACAGCCCGCATCGCAGCCCACTCAGCAACCCATTTCACAGCCTATACCAAAACCTACTAATACACCGAAATTACCCCCGCACAAACCGAAACTTATCGGGAAAATCCCCAATTGCCTATCTCAGAATCAAATACTCAGCAAAAATCTCTTGCAGTGACATCACCACCAAAGAAGAAAAAGAAGCGTGTTGTCATAGCCGATTCTGATAGTGACCAGGCATCAATTCTACCAAATTCATCTGCTGATGAAAGTGACGTACCATCATATGGTTATAAAACTCGAGCAGGCGCCATCTTGGCGAAAAAGCCATCAGTTGTGCGTGAGGATAGAGAAAGAGAGGAGAAAGAAGATGATTCACCGTTGCGCTCTGGAAATGTAGGGTTTTTGAAGGATCGCATTGAACCCACAAGAACTATATCACCATCTCCCTTGCCTCGATCATCTGCTGGCAGGGGACATGGTCGAGCGCAATCGTCAGCAAATTATGCGCAAGAACGCCAGCATACCAGATCTGCAAGCCAACCTCCAATGACATCTGTTGCCGCCCCTCCGTTAAATGAAGAATCTCCTCGTGGTGGTCGTGTCCAATCCGTGAGTCCTGCGAGAACTCCACATTTTATGGCAACCCCCGAGACCTTGACGATTAGACACCAGCCACCTCCAAGATCTGTATCTCCACGAAAGTCGGCCTTGAAACATTCTTCCATGTCTTCAATTGAACCTAGAGGACCGTCACCATCTGACGGAGGTTCCTTTCGACTTAGTGAGGTTTCTAATGACGAGGAACAGCCAAGAAAGAAAGGAAACAGAGTTAGCTTTGATGAAGGAAACAACGTTGTATTGGGTCAATCGACAACCTTGGCTTCTGATTCACCAATGGTTCCGAGTCCGCAAGTAAAGCGTAGCTGGTTTAATATTGGTCGTGGGAAGAAGAAGGACATACATGCTACAGATGAAGATGACGACGAAGTAATGAAACCAAGACCAGCTCTTCCATCTTTTGGAAGTGTGCGGGAAAGAAAAACTCATCGAGAGACAGAGGAACGAGTTCTAGTCAGACCACCAGAGCAGGTAACTACCATTGCTCCTGTCACTTCGCCTACTTCACCATTGTTCACTTCTCATACGGGAGGTGTATTGGAATCCCCCATGGGACAGTCAAATGATCATGTCGCAGGTTCACTACTCGCCCATGATGCCACTTCGAAAAATGCAGCAAACATTTCGAAATCTCGCGAGCCTCTGCCTCCTGATGTAACATCTTTGGAAGGGACTGGGGAAATTTCAGACGCTAGCAGTACGTATAGCTTAGATAATAATGCTATCGGTATTGCTAGAAGTAATAGTGTAAGAGTTGGACCAGAAGATGGACATGCTGATACATATCGAGAATTGGCAAGCCCAACGAAAGATCAATTTGAGGATCAGGAATTGAATGAAGATATTCCGGAAATTGCTGTTCAAATGCCTACTCCAACTCCAGAAGGCACACAATCAAGAGAATGGTTGGACATGCCTGGTGGGTATAGGGGTTCAGGAAGCTCCACTTCGAGTTATGTGGATCGATCCAAGGATGAGGTCCATGCTGCTACTGAGAATGGTATTATTAGCACAGCTATTTCGCCTACTTCCGAAGAAGCAAATTCAACAAATGGTACCTCGAACTTATCGGAATTTGGGGATAGTGCCAGAACAAGTTCGGAAGCTCATCCTGCACCAATTTTTGAAGAGTCGGAGGAATCTGAAAATGACAGTATATATAGTGATGCAGCTGAAGAGTTTGAGGCACCAGATGATGGTGGTTTCATGTCTTTGGATGCTGTGGTAGAAAGTCCTGTATCTGCATCTGCTATACTAGCATCTGAGCCAGACAGCCCAAGAACTAAATTGGCGAAAGAAAGAGCATATATGTCAAGTCAATTGCAAAGAAAGTCGAGTGAACCAGATCCAGAAGAAGGGTGGGAGAAAGCTCAGCAATATTGGAAGAATTTGTCAGTGGACAGGAAGAAACAATTGGAGCTAGATGCATTTAAGGTGACAGATGAAGAAGAGAAAGAAGAAGTTACGCCAGCCCCAAAGCCAAAGAAAACGAAAAAGAAATCGGTAACCATACAATCGCCTACCTCTCCTATTATGCAAACAATGCAACAATCGCCATTTCCACAAGTTCAAAAGCAATCAAATACGGAGAGAAGCTACATGATTCAACCAGGATCAAAGGTAGGCTCCAATGGTCACAGCCAGACAACTATGCGATCATCTATGAGAGCGGAACCTCCTCATGCGGAATCAGATGTTCATATCAGGCAATCTATGAGAGGACCTGGTTCGACAAAGGGAGCGACCCAGAATGGAACAGCTCAGCCTAATGGAATACTACAAAAGAAACAAAGGCCTGTTTCTCTTCCTCCCGCTAAGACTCAAGCAAATACTCAAGCTGTAAATCAGCATCTTCGGCTTATCCAGGGGGCCGCTGCCACTGCTACTTCGCCTAATTCTCAAAGAAATAGTGCAGTAGTAGCACCAACTCCTCTACGACGTAAATCATCTGGAGATAGCGATACTAGTTTCAAACGTGCTAGACCTGCAACAGATGGAATAAGTATGAGACGTTCTATGCGTCGCGAAAGTGATGTATCATCAAATGGCCGTCAACAATCTCCTCTGAACTCAAGTCGATTTAGTCTTCGATCATCATCACCTGGTGGACCTCCTGCAGTTACCATGCGAGGAACAATGCGAAGTTCTCTAAGAGGATCTAATGATTCTACTGCTCGAGCAAAATCTCCAATCAGAATACCTGGATTCGGTAGAAGTTCATCAGCTAGACCAGCTCCAAAACAAAAGTCAACTCAACGATCAAGTCGATTTGCTGATTCAAGTGATGAAGATGAACCTCGTGCTGGATTTAGAAGTCGTTTTGTGGATTCAAGTGATGATGATGAACCTACACCTATAGCTCCTATAGTCGCACGACCAATATCATCACGTGGTACACCAGTTCGAAGTATACCAAAACCTATAGGGTATCAAGATGGAGATTCTTCTGATCTTCCAGATAGTGATGATGAGAGTCGACCTGCCACAGCTAAGAGTGTAAATAAACCCAAAGCAAATGGCAATAGACCATCATCTCGAAATATGACAGCAGCATCTGGAGATTTACAGAGATCAGGTTCAGGTCGTGGCACGATCAAGGTCGGCAATGGACAAATCACACCGATTACTCCTCCTAGACCACAGAATGCTCGACGTGGAAGTATTTTATCTATTTTTAGGAAAAAACAAGATCCAAATAGTAAAGTCAGGAAGTACAATGGAGAAAGTCCGGCTAGGAGAGACACACATTTGGAGAGAAGTAAGGAGGATCTGGAAGCTATTAAGAGACCGGAGACTCTTGGTAAACCTGATTCTCCTAGAGTTTTGAAAAAGAATCCGAGACAAAATAGTGGATCTTGGCCTTTGGCTGATGATACGGGCATCAAAGTACCTTTTGAAGAGGGAAGGCCTTTCTCTGCGGATACGGGAGCAGGAATTGTGGGAGGTGAAAATAAAGAAATTGTTGCGGAATTGAATGGAAGACCAGAAGTTGGGAACCGAAGATTTACGGCTACGGGGTTGAGTGATGTGGATGTTATGGGGCAAGGGGGAAGTCCGAGAAAAAAGAAGAAGTTTCAAGTTTTGAGGAAGATGTTTAGGTTGGAGGATTAGAAGGAGGTGGTGAATTAATGGAAATGTGAGAGTTGTATATGTATTATTCTTCATTTTTTTATTTTTCCTTTGTTACTTCATTGGTGGATTGGCGGGTTAGGGATTGATGGATTGGAGAGGGAATAGATACCAATGGAATTGTGGGTGGATGGATGGATGGATGGATGGATTGGAGGAGAGATATGGATTGGGAAACATGTAAATACAAAAGCATGTTTGTTTGGTTTCTGGGGAGGGGAGGGGTTGTAGAATATATGTAAAATTTTAATCATCAATGTTTGTTTCGAGATTCATTGTCTAATGATTTGAGTTTTGGTATGGTTTGTTTGTTGGTTGAGGTGGTTTAGTTGGGAGAGGAAGGGAGGGGAAAGAAAAGAAGGTGGGTTGAGGGAATGTAACGATGATAGATAATAGATGATGAATAGAGAATGGTGTATGATGTATGTAGTGCGTATAGTGAATGTATAATGGATTGGATGAATGATATAGACTATGGGAGAAAATGAGAAACTAGGGGCATAGTGAAATGATGGAGTGGTGAAATGATGAAGTAGGAAAGCTAGGCGAAACGAAGCGAGAGGGGAAGGGGGAGGAAGTGAGGAGGAGAAGATGCGGGAAAGAAGGGGGAGAGGGAGGCGAAGATGGGACGCAAGAGGGGGAGATGCGGTAGGCGAGGGGGAGAATGAAGGAAGAATAACGGATGGATGGATGGATGGATGGGTCAAGTGATGGAGATTGGCGAATGCGTGGATGGCTTGAAGGGACGGAGATCGAGATCATGTATGTATGTATGTATGTGTGTATGTAGATATAGGTTCTTGAGATTTATTGCTTAGTGTCATGTCATGTCTAGACCCCTGTTTAGTGAATGATATGGATAGTTAGATGTAGATATTGTACTTGTACTTGTACTTGTACTTGTACTTGGGGAAAACTTCTTTCCTTTCTTTCTTCTTGAGTGTCGTTTTTTTATCTGCTTGGTGATTTTTGAAGCTGTTTTCTCTCTCTTGTGATGGGTGTGATACTTAGGAGATGTTGTGTTGTTTGTATTATGTATTATGTATGAATGAATGAATGTATGAAATAGAATGATAATTTTAAATAAATAGTAGTTTTGTTTCATGAATCAATAAACACACAAATGAGAGAATGAATAAATAAAAATGGAATAATTTCCTTTGAAAAAAATTCCCTTGGTGTGATGAGTGAGTGAGCTGTGTGTGAGTTCTCGAAGTCGGTAGATAGATATATCTTTCTCTTATCTCTATTTCTCTTTCTTCTTCTTTCTCTCTTGGACTCTTTCTCTCAGCGAGAGATTTATTCTCTCTCTCCCTTTATTCTTATCTGTCTGTCTTCATTCTATTGCTTGTTTACTTACTGATTGAATAAATTAAGAGAGAGAGAGAGAGAGAGAGAGAGAGTGTGTGTGTGTGTGTGTGTGTGTGTGTGTGTGTGTGATTTTTGATAGTGTTCTTTCTTTCTCTTATCTATCTAATCATCAAACATCCCTCCCTCTCATAAATACCCCTCTTCTTCAAAAAATATCATTCAACTTAATTTAACCCCCTCTCTAAAATCTTTCCTCGAATCCTCTATCGACCCCTCTGGAAACGCCCTGAATATAGATAGATATTAAAAATAAACCCGTAATAATTAAGTAGGTAAACAAACCGACGAAAAAAAATCCTCGAAAACTTCCCAAAATTTAAATCGGGAAACAAACATGTAAAGAACAAAAGAAGAATTCCGGTACGGGGAATTGAACCCCGGTCTCCCGCGACCTTTGAAAGTAATCAGATACTGATACTTAGTGAGAGGCGGAAATGCTAGCCACTACACCATGCCGGATGATTTCTACTGTATTGTATATTAGAGTAGTTCTTGTTGAAGAATATATTCAAGCGGTGATCTGCGGGAAAATCTGGATGTGGATACCTAGGTATGCAGAGTTTTTCTCGGGTGAGGTTTAGCGAGTTAGGGTGGGAGGCGAGATAAGAAACGTGAGGTAGATTGTGTATGAGTGTGAATGGGTGTTCGGAGTGGGGTAGCAACAAGTGGGTGGGTGTGAAGCATCACAGAGTGAGTACATCTATCATATCATATCATGTCATGTCATGTTGAGCTTGATATGTACATGCATAATGGGAGATTATCGAGATATGGAAGATGAGGAATGAATGAATAATATATTATGAGATGGATGGGTAGGATGGGATTGAAGTATCTATATTGTGATATCCCAATAACATCTCGATCTCTTTCATGAGAGTACAGGCCCCAGGCAGGTTTGAATATTTACCTCGGTATTTATATTTACATCTATTTAAAATGTCCATCTAGAGCGAGTGTATTGGCATTGTTTGATTGATCAACATCTCACATCAGTATTTCAAGTATAATAAAAAATCTATCTTGATAATATAACCTCTATTAGAAAGATGCAGCACGCACGGTGCTCTTGCGCTGCAAATAACCTTAACACTTCCACTTCGTAGTTAGATTTTAGTTTAGTGCAATTCAATCTACATAGTCAATAATACATGCATTCTACTGTCCCGCGTCCTTTATTGTGAATGATGTTTCGTTTTAATCAATACATGAGAAGTTCGAATACGAACCTAGTATCTAATCTCTATCGTGAGTATATTATGAATCGATAATATAACACCTACTACACAAATCCACTCAATCATTATATCCTGAACCGCCCCCCTGACCCCTCTCGGATATCTACAAACTCGATATCTCGCATCCACTAGCGGACACTCCATACATAAACTAACATCATACTTCTCAACTTACCTGGTATAAGATTATCAACAAATCCATCTTCTAACAATTTGATGTCAAAATCTACTACTTCATTATTCAATCTGTAATAAATCATCATAACAATTCTCAAGATATGGAAACAAACATTTCAAAAGATCTTGACAGGTCGACTTTTCTAGTATCCCGTCAGTTCGTACACCCATTAGTGAATCATCCAACTAATAAATCAAATTATGCTCTACTGAGGATCAACAATTGTTTAATTCACCTAAAGACTACCTACCTATATTGCCCACCCCACCCGCACCCACAAAACTTCAAATAAATTACAAGCATGAAAACCCAATTGAAGAAGGAGAAAAAAAACTACAAACGCCTACAGTAGCCACCGTTCCAATCATTCCATTCGCTCATTGCTAACCCTAACCACCATAAACAAAACACTCGCTCGCTCTTGACTCGCCTCAAAAATGCATATCATTTGATTTCTTCTGAATATTCTCATCTAGTCATCGGTCAGAAACACACTCTCCATAGCACAGGTATCATATAACCTCCACCTATCTTTCGAACTCCACCACTTTCTGTGTTGCCGAACTGGAACTTCTTTCTCTCTGTGAATCTCCAGAAATACCTGGCATCAAGCTTCCAATCTTACCCGATATCCCTACTCCCTCAACCTTCTCAATGCCACTTCTAATACTACCTGCTTCAGCATCTGCTCCTTCCAATAAATCTCTATCTTCACTCCTCACACTCCTCCTTTCAGCATCACCACCATAACCACCTGAAACTCTTAATCCATCATCTTCTTCCTCCTCATCTTCATCTTGTACACCCGGTCTATGCACAGCATTTCTCTCCATTTCCTTTTGAGCCTCATCCATTCTTCTTCTAACTTCCGCAGCAACTCTCATTCCATCAGTAACAATATTATCCAAGACACCTCTAAGTCCCTTTCCAGGTGGTACCACACCAGCAGAACTAGGACCACTAACAACATTTGCTGCTGCACTTGCTGCCGATTTGCCGATATTTGTGAATGTGGTAAGAGAAGAATTTGTTGTATTGGAGGTGGAGGCCATTTTATCCGAAATACGAAAGGAAGCTGGGAATGAAGATTCAAAGAATTGTTCAAGAAGTTCGTCAGCTAGAACGACCATACGGAAAGTAGGTAGAGTTATGTGAAGGGGTTTGGAAGGATCAAGAGCTGCGTTAGCACTTTCTGATTGTGCTTTTGAGACACTTCGAGAAGGCGTAGAGAGATTTTTGGGTTTGTTGGATGGTGGTGGAATAATTGGAAGATTAATTTCCTTTTTGGTTTTCTTTGAGTCAGCACCCAGATCCAAGAGATCTTCTTCTTCATCTGAGTCATCCGAATCGCCAATAGCAAATGAGTCAGGGTCAACAAGACCATTTGCATCATTTGAGGCATCTTCAACTTTCTCTTCACTTTCTCCTCCACTCTGATTATCTTCCTCTTCCTCCTCGATATTTTGTGGATGATCTGGATCAGCATACTCAAAACAACGTCTGATGAATGCACTAACGCTACTCAAAAATCGTTCTTGTGTTGTTGTATGTGGACTATTGAATTGTGCTGGATTGCCAGCTTCATATTCGCTCAGTCCGACCATAGACGGCGAAGGCGTCAGAGATCCTTCTAGACCTCTTCGAGAAAGGAACAGTAAAGCCTCAGATATCCTTAAAATCCCTTCTCGGTCTACTTTTCCATCTCCATCATCATCATAAAGTTCAAAGAAGTATGTAATACTTCCCATAATATCCCCTTTGCCCTTGATATGAGCCAATCCTGTAACGACATTTTGTAAAGTCAATGCAGAATTCATATCCACATCCCATCTTCGGAAAAGTCGTTGCATGAATTCGTGATCGGCTGGTTCAGGATTACCAAAACCCCAAGGAGAAAGGGAAATATCTCGACGTCGCAAAGAATTGCCAAAATAAGAATGTTTCTCCTTCTCGAGTTCCTTTTCTTGCGTAGATGGTGAATCTGTTACGGCCCATTTAGTCATTCCAGCAAGGAATTCTCGAAAGCAATCGTAATCCATCAGAGTAGGACTTGGACCGAGACCCACTCTACCTTTCTCGATATTTTGGTTCTCTCCTAACCCAGCAATCACACTAGCTCTATTGGCTTTTGCTCTTCTTTCTTTTTCCTCTTGTATCATTTGACTTCTTTGTTGTCTTTCGTATAATACGCCATA